CACACACACACACACACACACACACACACACACACACACACACACACACAGCTGCTACCGTCTGTCAGCTGCAGTTGGACTTAACTGGAGACTCACTATCATCTGACCCATCTGTTAAAGACAAACTGGAACAAAGTGAACCTGGTTTGAACCACGTTGATATTTAACATGTTTTTTTGTCCATCAAAAACAAGTCAGCCTTTATTCTGCTGGTTGACTGATCTCTGCTGAGCAAAACTCACAAACAACTTGTTTAAACTATGTTTTAAAGTTCAGACATTGACCAAAGAGCCATGTTTTACCTTCTCTGTCAGAGGGGCAACATTGTCAGGTGAAGAACACATTCAGGTTGTAAGATCATCACCAAGAGAATCAGTTTGTCAGTAGGGAGATTTAGTTGTTTGTTGTACTGCCTGGAGACTGGAGGTCTGTCCAGACATCCCTATGATGAACCASAGATGTGTCTAGGTATTTATTTTATTGTTTTATTTACCATTATTTATCCAGGCAAATCTCATTGAAATCCCATATCTCTATTTCAAGGGAGGCCTGGGCCTGAAGGCAACCTATTCTACATGTTTTTAGTGGTGGGGGAAACCGAAGTACCCAGAGAAAACCCACACAAGCACGAGGAGAACATGCAATCMRCACAGAAAGACCCCAGGTCTGAACYGGGGATCGAACCCAGGACCTTCTTGCTGTGAGGCGTTGGTGCTAACCACTCATGCTCCATCATGTTGCAGTAGGTCTCCGTCTGAATATCTTGAGACTTCCCTGTGATGAACCAGACACCTGTCCAGGTATGACTCTGATGAACACCAGGGGTCMGATTTATAACACTTGTGTGCGCACAAAACGGGCCCAGAAAATTGTGTACCCCACTTTTTCACACCAAGGTTGTGATTTATAAAACTCAAACTTGGTGTGAAAGGTGCGGTCCCTCACACCAGCTCTGACCCAAGCGTACGCTCACTTTGGAGACTGGAAGCTGCGACACAGATGTGAAGAGAGGAGCTGGACCCACACTGCATCATGATCACTGTCAGATCCTGGTAACCACAGATAATGGTGCAGGCTGCTGTTGGAAGCAGGAGGAAACACGGGAAAGAGCGGTGAACATTAATTTGTAGATGAAAAACAGGGCAATGTTTGGGTTATTTTATTTTATTCATTTCAGCATCCTAGGCTCTGAGAAAAAATAAATTTGAAGATGAATTTTTGAAAAGATCGATGATTGCCCACTACGTTCTGTAACAATATATTTCATCTTCTTCTTTTTCATTGGAGGAAACCCATCCCTCCTTCGTGGAAACAGCGCCCCCCTCAGGCAGCTTCATACTCGACCTGACTCTCCTTCTGTGTGATGGTTTTCATTAGAGACTCTGAGGGTTGTGGTGGAACATGAACCAGATCCTTTAAACACCACCATGGATTTGAAGTAAACTAAAATATGCTGTAATTATTATATTTGAAGGTATTTMCATCCAAATGAACAGAATGTGGATTACCAGTTTATAGGAGCAGATCCCAGGTCTAGAGTTTATTTGAAGTGGGGGGTGTGCTGCTGTCAACTCAGTGGTTGTGGTTCCTGTCTGAGGTTCAGGGGAACCAGCTGTGTTCCTGCAGTTACCTGAGGGATCCTGCAGGTGGCAGTAAACACAAAGATTCAGTCCACAACCTTGGAAACTTACTCCCATCATCATCATTTTTCTACCTTTTACTTCATTTTATCTTTTATTTACAATTAACAGATTATTTACCACCAAGCATGATGAATAATGAAGTATTTCTGCTCCTCGTCAGTTTTATTTTCTGTGCTGTTCCTCTTAAGTTTGCTTTATTTTTGTTTCACTGCAAAATGTATCAAATCAACTCAAGTTTTTTTGTTGATGTTAAAATTATTAAAACATATTAGTGATAATTAGTGACGTAGTCATTTCATAAGTGTAGTACATTGTTTCCGGGTCAGGAACTGATTACTCAGTTACTCATGGTACTGGAATATCTGCAGATTCAGGTACTAGTTTCACCAGTAACAAGTAGTAACAAAGAAAACTGAAGTATCTGAAAACCACACTGACGGACCCTCCTCTCCAGGACCCCTCAACAGACCTGACCAGGAAGGCTCAGAAGTGTGATCCCCCTGTAGTTGGAACACACTCTGAGACCCCCCTTTTTAAACAGGGGGACCACCACCCCGGTCTGCCAGTCCAGAGGAACTGTCCCTGATGTCCATGTGATGCTGCAGAGTCACATCAACCAACACAACCCACAACATCCAGAGTCTTCATGAACTCCAGGTGAATCTGCTCCACCCCCGGGGCCCTGCCACCGAGGGGCTTTTTACC